CTTCAGGGTGGATATAGCTCGCTAGCAGCCTCGCACCGAGGACCTATCCACGTCATCGTTTACCCAGAATGCTTTGCGTGTAAATAAAATGGCTCCGTCCGTGTAATATATTATTAAACTTTTAGTTTAAAAATGATAAAAACTGAACACCCTACAGTATTTTTACTCTTTCTTTTACAGTTAAAATATATGTTTATTAAATAAAGTCTAACGTTACAACTAATCATGGATCCCAGAATGCTTTGTGTGTAAATAAAATGGCTCCGTCCGTGTAATATATTATTAAACTTCTAGTTTAAAAATGATAAAAACTGAACACCCTACAGTATTTTTACTCTTTATTTTACAGTTAAAATATATGTTTATTAAATAAAGTCTAATGTTACAACTAATCATGGATCCCTTAACACTTAGTAAGAAGCAGTAACAGCTTGGTTGAAAAAGATTTTTCAGTTTGTTCAAACTAAAACATTTGGCTTCTGATTACCAGACAATAACTGCATATTTAAAAATATTGTCTCTTATCTCTATTTCTGGGTCCTGGTGATGATTTCAAACAAATTTTTGGCCAAATCTGTTCTGTTCTTGCTGCTCGTGTCCATCTGTTTGTCTCTGTGTCTCTTCCCTCGCCTCGTTCGACTCCACCCACCCTGCTTCAATGAAGTGGTTGATGGCAGCGTCCATCTGTTTCTGCTGGACCAGGTAGTCTCCCCAGGCCTCCTCCAGTTTCACCACCTCGGCGGGGAAGGAGTCGCGAGCCAGCGCCACCGCTACAGGAAGCAGGAAGAAACTTTTTTCCGACACGAACGGAGCGAACGCTCGGCCAAAAGCGAACRACGGTTTTACCTTTCCCGAAGTTCCCTCCCTTGCAGTAGCATTCCAAAGCTCTCTGTTTGTTCCCGATCTTCTCGTACAGATCTCCCGCCTGAGCAGAAAAAAATGAAATGTTTTCGTCTTTTTTTTTCTTCAATGCTAGTTTGAGATTCGGTGAGGAGAAMTACGGGGATGAAAACTGGCATCAAAATAAGCAAAATCACCTGTTTTCTACAGTGAAACCAGGAGCTTATTCTAAAAAYATCCCAGGAGCTGAAAGTTAAACCACATCTAACCAGCATGAACGCTGCACGGAAAAAAATAACTTGTAAGATGTACTTGAAAAAATCCTGTAACAAATTTGCACTAACGTATGTTAAAGGCACAGTGTGTAGGATTTGTTGTTTTCAGCGACATCTAGTGGTTGAGTGGTTGAATCATCCTCCCTGGTC